GATCTATTTTAAGGAAAAAAGCAATTCGAGAAAATTTCGAGTTAGACGGTTAGAATTCTCTGCCGACGATATTCATGTGTAGACATGCGTGTCCCAAAAAAGCAACAATAACCCCATACCAAAAGTAAGAAATTACAATCGTAACGGAGAACAAACAATTTAGCGATAACGTTATATAAGTCTCTTTTGCAAATTCTGATAATAACATGACTAAAACACTTTTTGTTATGACATAATCACCCTGATTGATTTCTTTCAGAACGGAGAGGACGAGTTCTCAGGGCTACCCCTCCCAGTGACCCCATTGTCGGCACGACGGGAGGAGACGGAGGAGGGCGTGGTCTACACTGTCAGATATGTCCGGCAGAGGGGGGTGCGAGAGAGCATAATGTGGAAAAACGATTATGAGCCGGATGGATTTTCAAGGGTGAGTGATAAACCAAAGATGTTATACCACAGATTTCAACATAAGTTAAGGACCACTTGCAAACACTCTGAGTGGTCTTCTTTGGTCGACCTGCACGTCGGCGTTCTTGGACGGATCCAGTGGCGTGATGGCGCTGCGTCAGGCGGACAATAACAAAGTGTGACACTGTGGGCCTTCTGGCAACTTCTCGGGCCCAAACTCCATCCTGCAGCCATGCCATAGCTCTGGCACGATCAAAGTCTCTCATTAAACTCTCAGCTTTCGTCCTGGTGGTATGATGATACGATACCGGATTTTTACGCTAACGGTGGCTTATATTGCCACCGAAGTGAGCACAGTTCGAGACCGTACGTCCATTGATGACGTACACCAGAAATTTTAACAGAGGAATGTCTGTGGTGTCGCACACAAGTCGATAAAAAGCAGCAAATTTGACTAAAATGTCCGTGCTGCACGTGGTGGTTTGCCCCTATAGGAAGCTTTGTAGTACACATTGGTAACCAATTAACACTTTCAGAGCAAAACATTTTGAATCATTCCTTGCTGTCTTATTTTCAGATTAAAAAAAAAAAATCAAGATTGTCTATCAAGGAGGTCCTTAACTTATTTTGAAGTCTGTATTTATGTAACACTCACTCGTCTGTTGAACTGCACATGTCTTACCCTTGATGTTCAGCGTCCCAGGGTGGGCACACGCGGTCCCCGTTCGTTTACGTGGGGGACATCACTGCCAAGAACTCTAGTATGAAATATAACCTCTTTTGTGATAACTGCTAGTTATACACAACTATGTATTGTTTGAATGAATACCACAGGCTATACACCGCTATATATTGTTTGAATGAGTACCGCAGTTTATAACCACTAAATATTATTTCAGAGAGTACCGCAGTTTATGCGTCATCGTATATCATTTGAGTGAGTATCGCAGGCTAAACACCACTAAATATTATTTGAGTGAGTACCGCATGTTATATACCACTATATATTTAAATGAGTACCACAATGAGCTTCTCATTCTTTCAGTCCGCTGAGATGCTGTTTCCCCTCTCAACCCAGATAGGCCCCTACAGGTAGAGTGGGAAGCCCGCCTCCTAAATGATCTACAAAGAGTTGATGGGGGCGTAAAAGCATCTTCACTTTGAAAAAGATTTGATAATTATTATTTTTCTTCAGAGATCATGAGCAACTCCATCCCAGCGTACAACCTCGGGTACCAAGAGACGAAATACGTGACGAGGAATGGAACTCATTCCTATGTTACCCTGTACATCTACACTGAAACCTACTGGTGAGTGTTATTATCATAGTTACGTAAACGTGTTCAGTTGTGTTCCCAATTGTGTTGGGCTATGGGCCCGTTGTTTATTTGTTTGTTGATATTTTTTTCTTCTTCAGTAGTGCACCCTTACTATTTCTTAGATTCCAAAAGTACTGACGATGGCTCTACGTTGGAACATATCAAGAAAGACGAGATCAGAAGGGAGGGAATTAGTACTTTAGCAACCTACTCACTCTATGTCTACTAACCAGACAAATCTGTATCATGTATAATATACTGCTGTAAGATCTACTTCCTCTATGTCTACCACACAAAGCTATGTCATGTATACTGCTGTAAGATCTACTTCCTCTATGTCTACAGCCCAGCAAAGCTGTACCATGTACACTGCTGTAAGATCTACTTTCTCTATGTCTACCACACAAAGCTGTATCATGTATACTGCTGTAAGATCTACTTCCTCTATGTCTACCACACAAAGCTGTGTCATGTATACTGCTGTAAGATCTACTTCCTCTATGTCTACAGCCCAGCAAAGCTGTACCATGTACACTGCTGTAAGATCTACTTTTTCTATATCTACCACACAAAGCTGTATCATGTATACTGCTGTAAGATCTACTTCCTCTATGTCTACCACACAAAGCTGTATCATGTATACTGCTGTAAGATCTACTTTCTCTATGTCTACCGCCCAAATTGGTTCAAATGGTGTCAATGCGGGTTTAAAATACACGTAGACATAAAAGAATTAAAAAGGAAATATAGTGAGACGTGCTTACATGCTAACAATATGAGTAACTTCTCGCACTGAACAAATGGAGATATTGACCTCAAATGGACACTAATTTCAAATGTGTAGGTTTTCTTTTGATGCTATATTCTTTAGTTATAGCACGCTTCTTATTATTTCATACTTATTATTTTTT